AAAAAAAAAAATTACCAGCTATAGGTTTTTGAAAAAAAAAACTATTACCAGCTATAGGTTTTGAAAAAAAAAAAAACTATTACCAGCTATAGGTTTTTGAAAAAAAAAAAACTATTACCAGCTATAGGTTTTTGAAAAAAAAAAAAAAAAAAAAAAACTACCAGCTATAGGATTTTGAAAAAAAAAAAAAAAATATTACCATTACCAGCTATGGGTTTTTGAAAAAAAAAAAAAAAAACTATTACCATATATATATTGTGCAAATGTTTGTCACTATCCAATGAGCAACATCCCTCATGATACTAGTAGTGAACAGCAGAGTACAACACTAGAACTAACAAAAGAAAATAATCAGATTAATTATTTCTTCTATAAGAAAAACAATGTGAGCCAAAAAAAAAAAAAAGTCATTTTAAAAAATTATTTCAAAGTGTTTTATTGTAAAAAAACAATGTAGTCACATAATATCTTAACCAAATACAAAGTTTATATCCATATACAGAAATAAATACTAAATAACGTACAAAATTATTTCAAATATATTCTATTGGACAAATAAATCCCTAAACTGAGGTAAAAGCATTAGAAAAGTGTAAAAATAGGTTTTAATACCAGAAGTATTATTATAGAAATAAATTAAAATATATATATATTTAAAAAAAAAAATTTTACCACCTATATTTTTTGAAAAAAAAAAAAATTACCAGCAGCTAGTAAAAAAAAAAAAACTATATATAGGTTTGTGAAAAAAAAAAAAAAAACTATTACCAGCTATAGGTTTTTGAAAAAAAAAAAAAATATTTTGAAAAAAAAACTAGCTATAGGTTTCCTTGAAAAAAAAAAAAAAAAACTATTATAACGTTTTTTGTCCATTACCAGCTATAGGTTTTTGAAAAAAAAAAAAAAATTACTATTACTGGAGGTATTACCAGCCATACATTTTGAAAAAATAACAAACTATTACCAGCTATAGGTTTTTGAAAAAAAAAAAAACTATTGCCAGCTATAGTTTTGAAAAAAAAAAAAACTATTACCAGCCATAGGTTTTGAAAAAAAAAACTATTACCAGCTGTTTTTGAAAAAAAAAAAAGCTATTGCCAGCTATAGGTTTTTAAAAAAAAAAAACTATTTATGGTTTTTGAAAAAAAAAAAACTATTACCAGCTTAAAAAAAAAAAAAAAAAACTATTACCAGCTATACTTTTGAAAAAAAATAACAAACTATTACTAAAAAAAAAATATTATGGTAAAAAAAAAAAAAACTATTACCAGCTATACATTTTTGCATTAGAAAAAAAAAAAAAAAAATAGGTTTTAATACCAGATAGTTTTTGAAAAAAAAAAAACTTATTAATAGAAAAAAAAAACTATAAAAGAAAAAAAAAATATTACCATCAATAAGTTTAAAAAAAAAAAATTTACCAGCTATACGTTTTTGAAAAAAAAAATTACCAGCTATAGGTTTTTGAAAAAAAAAAATAAACTTACCAGCTACAGTTTTTGAAAAAAAAAATATTACCAGCTATAGGTTTTTGAAAAAAAAACTTTGAAAAAAAAAAAAATTTTTGAAAAAAAAAAAAAAAAAGACTATTACCAGCTATAGGTTTTTGAAAAAAAAAAAAAAAAAATTTACCATCTATAGGTTTTTGAAAAAAAAAAAAATTACCAGCTATAGGTTTTTGAAAAAAAAAAAAAACTATTACCAGCTATAGGTTTTTTGAAAAAAAAAAAAAAAACTATTACCAGCTATAAAAAAAAAAAACTACTACCAGCTATAGGTTTTTGAAAAAAAAAAACTATACCAGCTATAGGTTTTGAAAAAAAAAAAAAACTATTACCAGAAAAAAAAATATTACCAGCTATAGGTTTTGAAAAAAAAAAAAGGTTTTTGAAAAAAAAAAACTATTACCAGCTATAGGTTTTTGAAAAAAAAAAAAAAAAACCAGCTATAGGTTTTGAAAAAAAAAAAAAAAAAACTATTACCAGATATATAACTATTACCAGCATATACTATATATATAGGTTTTTAGAAAAAAAAAAAAAAATCAGATTAATTATTTCTTCTATAAAAAAAAAAATTTTAACCAGCTATACAAAGTTTTTCCGAAAAAATACTAAATAACAAAATTATTACCATATTCTATTGTAGGTTTTTATAAAAAAAAAATATATATAATATATATTATTACCATATATATAGATAGGTTTTGAAAAAAAAAAAAACTACGTCCAACCAAGGCTATATCATTTTGAAAAAAAAACCATTACCAGGTCTATTTATGGACAAATAGGTTTTGAAAAAAAAAAAAATATTTTAATACCAGAAGTATTAATAGAAATAAATTAAAAAGACTATTACCATCAATAAGTTTAAAAAAAAAAAAAAATACGTTTTTTTTTTGAAAAAAAAAAATATTACCAGCTATAGTTTTTGAAAAAAAAACCAGCTATAGGATTTTGAAAAAAAAAAAAAACAATTACCAGCTTTTTTCTGAAAAAAAAAACTATTACCAGCTATAGGTTTTGAAAAAAAAAAAAACTATTACCAGCTATAGGTTTTGAAAAAAAAAAAAAAAAAACTTTACCAGCTATAGGTTTTTGAAAAAAAAAAAACTATTACCATATTACCAGCTATAGGTTTTTGAAAAAAAAAAACTATTACCAGCTAAAGGTTTTGAAAAAAAAAAAAAAACTATTACCAGCTATAGGTTTTTGAAAAAAAAAAAACTATTACCAGCTATACATTTTTGAAAAAAAAACAAACTATACCAGGGTTTTTGAAAAAAAAAAAACTATTACCAGCTATAGGTTTTTGAAAAAAAAAAAAAAAACTTTACCAGCTATAAAAAAAAACTATAGGTTTTTGACCAGCTATAGGTTTTGAAAAAAAAACTATTACCAGCTATAGGTTTTTGAAAAAAAAAAAAAAAATTACCAGCTATAGGTTTTTGAAAAAAAAAACTATTACCAGCTATAGGTTTTGAAAAAAAAAAACTATTACCAGCTATAGGTTTTGAAAAAAAAAAAACTATTACCAGCTATAGGTTTTTGAAAAAAAAAAAATATTACCAGCTATAGGTTTTTAAAAAAAAAAAAATATTACCAGCTATAGGTTTTTGAAAAAAAAAAATATTACCAGCTATAGGTTTTTGATATAGGTTTTTGAAAAAAAAAAAAACCAAATATTACCATCTATAGGTTTTTTTGAAAAAAAAAAAAAACTATTACCAGCTATAGGTTTTGAAAAAAAAAAAATTATTACCAGCTATACGTTTTTGAAAAAAAAAAACTATTATAGCTATACATTTTTTGAAAAAAAAAAAACTATTACAAGATATAGGTTTTTGAAAAAAAAAAAAAAAAATTACCAGCTACAGGTTTTTAAAAAAAAAAATATTACCAGCTATAGGTTTTTGAGAAACTATTACCATCTTTTCAATTTTGTGGAAAAAAATATTTCCAAAAGTAGATTTTGACAAAACAAAACTATTACTAGGAAAAAAAAAAGTTGTTGGCATTAAATGACCGATTGAGGTTGATATGCCGTAAAACAAACGAAACCAAACCTATATATATATATATATATATATATATATATATATATATATATATATATATACACCTTAGACAATAAAAAATCCCGAACAAAGAAAGAAAAAAGAAATAATGTCAAAGCCCAAACAACTATCAACTCAGTAAAGATTGTCAACGCTGAGATTGTCTCGATAGAACAAAAAAAAAACAAGAAAAAAAAAAAAAAGGAATCACTGCCGACACTCTTGATCTTTCGACAACTAGACAAGTAAGTGTTCGGGGGCGGGGTGATACTTCGTAAATACATTGAAAAGAATGTTTTCTTTTTTTAGTTGACTAATATATATCGATAGGAATGGCATTTTAAACTTCTTGTTATATTAGCGATAATTGGTCCAAAAAGTGACTCGTTGCGCCATATCTGATTATTGTTTTCCGTTTATATGAAGTGGGAAGATTATATTGAATCTAATTCCTAGGTCTGTTACTAGGACATTATCATTCACTGTTAGACACATTTCCTTTTTGCCAGAATCTATCTTGGGCATTTATAAGCCTGCCATTCGTCCAGGCCTTAAATTATACTGTCATTTTGCTCTTTGCTTCCAATATATATATATATATTATAATTTTATCATATAGACAAAACCATTTCACTCACTACAAAGATGCAACTTCGTTTCAGTGCATTTCAACTGCACTTCGACGGGCGAAAATCGAAAAATCGATTTCGCTTCTAACCCGTCGAAGTGCAATGGTTTTGTCTATATGATAAAATTATAATAAATAAATAATTATCGATCTACTATTGGTATCGAGCCCTCTTTTCGATTAATGCTGTGAACGTTAGAATTTATATATTACTTTTTTACTCATCATATCGCTTATATATATATATATATATATATATATATATATATATATATATAACATATTAAATTATGTTTATTTTTCCCCCAAAGCTTTACATAACGGTTCTAAAATGTCGCAAATCAGTATTTTATATGTCCGTCTCTACGTTTAATGAGCATATGGACGTGTTTTGGCATAGATTCGGTCAGTTTCAGGCACGTTGCCCAAACCTTCATTGTAATACCATATCCGAATGACCACACAGACAAGCTTATCCATGGTGGTACAGTCGTGTTTTATCAGCCAATACTGCACAAGTTTTTAATGTGGTTCAGGGCAGGGCAAATTCCAGCTTCGTCCAACACATTTACACCCTCATTTTGAAAAAAGATTCTGAATTTTTATCGATGTATGGTAAGTGGTATTATTTTGCTGAAAGGCACCATCTCTGCCTGAGTAAAATTTTTCCATTGTTGGAAGCATATGGACTTTCAAAAGATCTTCATATCTTGGGCTATTCATCATCCCCTCAATTATTCTCAATCTACTTAAACTGTTTGCACTAAAACCTCCCTAGAACATTTTCTTGGGAACGTGTTTTAGCTTTTGTTCAATATGGCCATCCCTTATAGGCTCACCTTTGCTTCTCTGTACAAAGCGGGATCGATGACCTCTCACTTCAAAATGCGTTTCATCCGAGAACAACATTTTTTTTCCAATCTTCCACCGTCCAGTCTTTATGAGATTTTAGCCAGTGGAGTCCTTTAGCTTTTATTTTTCCTGTCAAAACTGTTTTTTTTTATGTGTTTTTTTTTTTGGGTGGTCGCTGCATTTCAAGTAACCCTCTTCTGACAGTTGTGTCAGATATGGAACCAATGGATTCTACTAAACCTGCTGCCATGTCCCTTCTACTCTTGCACAGGATTTTAATGCTTCTTCATCACTTTTCGTTGTTTTCTTTTTTCTTCTACAACTTCCCTTTCGCAAAATCTTATTGTGACCCAACAGAGCCTACCTTTTCACAATGTGTCCAAAACTGGACGTTTATCTTGAGGCTTTCGGCTATTTGTCGTTCATGGAGCGCAATAACCTGTGCTCGCTTTCTAAGATTTATATCCATTTTTTATTTTACCTGTTGAAAGAAAATAATCAGGTTAACTAGATCTGAAATCAGAAGCACTAACCTAAAAGAAACAAAAAAAAATCTGATTTACAAGAAAAACAATATAAATCACACAATTCTTAACTAAATACAAAGTTTAGTCCGAAATAAATACTAAAGTATTCAAAATTATTTCAAAAGTGTTATATTGTAACAGGTGTATGAACAATAATGACTTCATTTAATTAGGAGTCATTAAACTATTTTGACGCTGTCACGCAGTGGCTTTATTGACTTCATTCTAGTGAAATTATTTTTTTAAAAATTGTTCGACTACTAAAATTAACAATTTTTAAATCGAGGAAAATTAGTAAAGTAAAATTCGTCCCTAACAACGTGATTTCCGACCAGCTGGCGATGGTAGATGCAGGAGTAGCGAACAAGTCGGCATAATTTGTCAGAAACGCACTAACGACCGACGCAGACACCGTTCACGAATACAACGACACATTTACACCCACTGAAGGCGGCTGTGGAGGCGGCGCTAACTGCTTGCTACCACTATCTATCTATCTATCTATCTATCTATCTATCTATCTATCTTAGACTGTTAATGATCTATCTATTTATCTATCTATCTATCTTAGTCTGTTAATGATCTATCTATCTATCTATCTATCTATCTATCTATCTATCTATCTATCTATCTATCTATCTATCTTAGTCTGTTAATGATCTATCTATCTATCTATCTATCTATCTATCTATCTATCTATCTATCTATCTATCTCTCTATCTATCTATCTATCTATCTATCTATCTTAGTCTGTTAATGATCTATTTATCTATCTAAATATGTTCGATATATTTCAAAGTTACCTGTATCAGGATGTTCCCTATCTGTCCCTTTCTCATTCTCCCTCTCTCTTCCTCTCTTTCATTCTAGTCCTGGAAATCCTTTCTCAAAATCCTTTCTATTGTAACAGGTGGATGAACAATAATGACTTCAGTTGATTAGGAGTCATTAAACTATTGTGACGCTAATACCGTGTTAGTATCAAGCTACTCTCATCTATGAACAATAGTTGACTTATATTTTATGAAAGTTTGTGGAAGTAAGGAAATTAGTGAATTTCAACGTGGGCAAATAATAGAATGGCATCAGTGTGGCAAGTTAAATAGAGAAATTGCTAGGTTTTTCCAGGTTAATTATCAAACAGTTAATAATATTGTCAAGAAATTTAATAAAGAAGGCAATTGTTGTTTGGAACAGCGTTCAGGAAGATGAAGCATCGTGTCTGAATGAACGAAAAGGGCGATGAAGATTTAAGTCATCAGAAACCGTCGTCAGAGCCTCAAAGATGTTGCCAACAGCATGGAAATGTCGCCATATGCGATGAGAATGTCTCTGAAAGAACTAGGCTATCAAAGAAGAGTTGATTTTAGAGGGTAACAGGAATTTTCGTATGGACTGGGCGAGAGAATTCGAGAGCAAAGATTATGAATTTTGGAAGTCTGTAATTTGGTCAGATGAAAGTAAATTCTGCCAATATTCTAATTCGAAACTGGTTTATGTTTGGAAAAATCAGAATGAGACTTGGAACACTGAATGTCTGCAGGCAACTGTGAAATATGGAGGTATTGGAGTAATGGTGTGGCGCGCAGTCTGGTTTTGGGGGGGAATTCTGAGCTGATTCTTGTCGATGAGCGTTTGAATGGTCATAGGAGCAAAGTAGCAAAGGCCTGGAAGGAATTGCAAGGAATCAAGTCACTGGCATGGGTAGCCTAAAGTCCTGGTATGAATCCAATATAGCACGTTTGGGAGCACCTTGGCCGAAGACTTCAAGAGCGTGCAACGCCAATCGCAACATTTAAAGAAACAAATGAGTGACAAAATATGGCTCAAAAGATTGTTGATAACTTGGTCAAAACCATGAAAACCGAATACAAGCACTAAAATTAGCAAATGGAGGACCTACTCCATACTAGTTCCAAATACTGTTTGTTTATGTTGAATAGAGTCCATGTAATTAAATTTTGAAATTGGATGTAGTTTATTTCTCCTGGCTAAAAACTTTTCTTAGGCCAGTATATATATATATATATATATATATATATATATATATATATATATATATATATATATATACCTTATACTCGTCGAATACGACGTATGAGGGTCAAGCAAATCGTTTTCCAGGAAACCAACAGCCCGACAACAGCACATGAGATTTGATTATAGTGGTGAAGGTTTCGTGCAGGACCATCCACTCTTTCTGAAGGGCCGAATACAGAAACGTGGTCCACTACGTGCCACAGGTTTCCCAAACGACCCTTCGCAAGTTTCGAATTAAGAGTTGTCCTTCTCCTAGACCAGTTGCCATCCAAGGCTATAGAACCCAGTCTGTCCTGCTATATACCCATACCTGGAGGGAGAAGAAAAGAATTCACACCAACGGTATTAGCACGTAAGTGAATATTATGGATTTGGAGGCATGGTGGAGTAATGGATAGCGGCTTGGATTGAGGAATCGGAGAGCTGAGTTCGAATATACGAGGGTCATTCAATAAATAACGTGAATTTTTCGGTATAAGGACTTCTAATACAGATAGAAGCTCACTTTTTTTTCAACGTAGTCTCCCAGCACTGTCACACACTTTTCCCATCTGTGCACAAGCTTCCATATTCCCTCAGCGTAAAAATCTTTGGACTGATGTCTCAGCCAGTCGCTCACAACACTTCATCGTCACTTTTAAACTTCGTGCCTCTCGTGAATGCTTTCAAGGGACCAAACAGGTGAAAGTCTGAAGGGGCAAGGTCTGGGCTGTAAGGGGGATGAGGGAGCAGTTCCCAGCCCAGCTCGTTGATGGTCTGCACCGTTTGGGCTGCTGTTGTCATGATGCAAGATGACCCCTTGACTGATGACCCCTGCGTTTGTTCTTTATGTAAGCTGAAAGTCCTTGCAATGTCATCCACTGTCACCCTTCTGTCAGACTGAATGTGGTCATTGACTGATTCGATCACCTCAGGAGACCTCACTTCTGTAGGCCTCCCAGGCCTGCCTTCGTCCTCAACACTGCTCCGTCCTTCTTTAAACAATTTAGCCCACTTGTAGACATTTTTTTTTTTTTGGCTGAAACATGTGGCACCATACACCGTTGACATTCTCCTATGAATTTCAACTGGTTTGTACCCTTCAAAAACCAAAAACTTGATAACTGACCGCTGTTCAATCCTGGAGCATGCTTCTTGGTCGGCCATCTTTGTTAATCGCCAAAACTCTCAAAGTTTTTTTTTAATCTGCAAAAGAAATTAAATCCATGTGAAAAAGAATTAAAACAAAAAAAAAAACGAAAAAAAAAGTAAGCTTCTATTAGAAGTCCTTATACCGAAAAATTCACCTTATTTATTGAATGACCCTCGTATATATTATATATATTAATGAATTAAACACTTAAAATACCATAGGCAATAATCTTTATTTCAGGAAAGCAAGGTTTATTGTAATTATTTTCAGAAGTACAAAAACTAAATTTTATTTAGTATCAAACAAACTTCTTGAAACATCAAGTAAATATTCAAAATTCTATTTTACCAAACACCTTCTTACAGTGAACATTTTGAGCGTTACATGAGCTCAGATAACGATCTTTTATTAGTAAAAACTTTAATTACAGTCAAAGTGAAGTACATGCTTGTACATCATTAGAGGCATAAACATAAATATTCATTCTTTGTTATAAAACCGTTTTGTGTTCGTTCGTATTGTTTCATATTTTGTGGTATATTGTGTTATATATAAATTCGAGAGGTCACATCAACGCACTGACCTCTACACTAACACAGTTGTAATTTCTTTAAATTGTTTAGCTGAGATTTTTATTTGATCTAATGGGTTTATCATTATCATTTTATATATTTTCGCAAAAAAATGTATATATATATATATATATATATATATATATATATATATTGTGGATGCATTAGTAGTTTCCCTGTGAAAATGCGGTATTTTGGTGCATGTCCGAGCCGAATGGTGAAGGTTAAGTTCTTACAGTGATTTTGATCAAATTGTTTAGCTGAGATTTTTATTGGATTTAATCGGTTTATCATTATCATTTTATATATTTTCGAAAAAAAAAAATTGTATATATATATATATATATATATATATATATATTGTTTATAATGGATCGGTCCAGCTAGATGGGAGTAGGATAGTTACTGATGGCTAAACTGTCCCCCTTTTTTATCGGCCTTGTGCCAAAAACATTTTATTGTGCTAAATAACCACAAAACTCAATTCTTGAAGACGAATGTAACAACATTTGAAAGTACTGGGAATAAATAAAATAATAATTTAAAAATATAATTGCAAATAATATTTTTGCTGAATTTACCGATGACATGAAACAAGAAATTCATAAATTTGAAAAGTTAAAAAAAATACAATTTGTCGATATTTTTCAACCAATATATATATATATATATATATATATATATATATATATATATATATATATATATATAATATGTATATAAATATAAATAAATATATATGTATAATTATTTATATATTATATGCGCGGTACTTATTAGAAAGCGCTCAATATCAGAGATAGAGCTAACATATTTGGTTGGATAGATGTGAGTTTGTGACCATGGATTTCACGCTTTAGCGATCGTCAGACAAACTGATTAATGTTTTAAAAAATTTGGGTTTATGTAGATGGTATTTATCAATCCACCCACGGGAATCGAATGTGGCACAAGGCCTTTTTAATGTGGGTATGTCCGAGCCCGTAGGCCCAGCCAAAAATAAAACCCATCTAAACCCGTCCAAGCGGGCTAGTTCCGTCAACCTCCCCGAACGAAACCCCACCCTTCGGCGGAGCTTCGTCCGAGTTCCCCTCTGCAAGCAGAGAGTTCGACAGACACCCGACTCGGCAGCTCACAAAGCGCAGATACTACACTTTGATCCTAGCCACCGGGCCGAGCGGGTTTTCGTCGTTTTGTCATTCATCGTACTAACGCAAACATCGATATATGCAGACACATATACACACTTGGTCGTCCGTCGGGACTCATACATATATAAACGTATGTGGGCAGTTTCGGCTATGACACATGTATGTATACGGGTGCTGTTATGTCTATACATACGCATTTGTATGTTGAAATGTTGAAATTTAAACATTGGAAGTGTGGCGGAAATGTCTCGTTAATGTCTCGTGACTGTATACATGTCATATTATGTATATTTTTTAAAATTTTTTTTTCGCTGAAAAATATTTCCTCGCATGTATGTATATACGTGTGGTGGGGTTTGTGTAAAATTATGATAGGTAAAAATTATTATTATTATTATTTATATTTATTTTTAAATTTTTTTAAAAAAAATGGGGGTTTATTTGTTATATTTAAAGCTGGTTATTTGTTTGTTTTTGGTGATTGTGTATATGTAACAGGTAAAAATTTGTAATCCTTATTGTTTAATTTATATGGTGATGTTTAATATACTGGGTGAGAGGGTGGTTCAATTTAATAACGGGTCTATATGATATGATGTGATAGTAATGTTTCAAGGGATTGGAGACAATGCTATTTAGCTAATAGTTATTGTAAATTGGAAGAAATTGTAAATTGGTAGAAATGATTAGTAACGGTGGTGGGAGAATGATAAAACCATGAATGTAGTTATCGTGGTGGTAGCTTGAACTAAAAAGTAGTTGTTGGTGTTTTATTTTATTTTTGTTTTATTTTGTTATATGTATTAATTTATTTTGGTATAAATCCTGATAATAGGTATTCTGTGTAAAATTATGGTAGTTGAAGATTGCTATAATTTTTAATTACAAAATTATTATTGTTATTATATTAAAGCTGCTTGGTAATAGGTGTTTGTTCTCATGGTTACATATGGAAATTATATCTGATCATATTGTTTTAAGGTATTAAATATGCTGGGGGAGTAATAAAGATTGCAGTGGATTATATGTTAATAGTGGGTGTGATGTGTAAGTGATGGTGCTGTGTGTTGGTGGTAATGATAATATTGATAGTTAATAGATATTGTAAAGTGGTAAAAGTGATTACTAATGGTGGTGCAATTATAATAATGATAGGTGCAATTATTTTGATGGTATCTTGAAATTAAATTGTGATTGTTAGTGGTTTGTCTATTTTATCTATTTGGTATGAATTCGGATAATAGGTACTTGTTCTCATGCCTACATTTGGAGATTATCTCTGATTTTTTGTTTAGCGAGTTCTTTTGCGGTTTGTGTGATATTATTGCTACTTTTTCGTGTAGGTAAAGTAGGCATTTTTTCGTAATGTTGTTGTAGGCAGGGGCTTTTTTCAATATTTCCCAACTTATTGTTGGTGTGATGTTTTTGTCTTTTTGCTGCCATATGTATGTAGAAAGTGTTGTGCCGTTCGAATATTTCCTGTTGTTGAATGAAAGGTTGTGATTAAACAGTATTAACAACATTTACCAGCCTGGACGTTTGAGAAATTTTCATAGCATATACGTGTCCTCCAACAGGAAACGAATATGTATCCTACACAGAACCGTCATATAGTTTAGCTACAGAGGGGCGTCTGATTAGCAAAGTTGATTTTACTGCTTTTAAGCTACAATCTTCCATGATTTCCCAATCATATCTGCTCGAAGCGTATCTAAACGCAAACATTTCTATGAAAATTTCTCGGACGTTCAGACTGGTAAATGCTGTTAATACTGTTTATTATAAACAGAGCATTTACTTAAATATTTGTATCTATATAAATAACGTATAACAAAATATATTGTTACGACATTACCCCCTTCCTCTAATCGAATCGATAGCGGAGATAGAGGAGGATCGTAACCTATATTATTATTTCAACAAGTATACAATTATTATGACAATTTTCTTTCCCCAAGGGTCTCTTTCCGATTGATCAGACACGATCGAGGTGGCTGGAATTGCTTAAGGAACACACACAGAGGGTGGCAAACAACAGAAACACAGATGCAGAACCAGTGGCGTAGCTAGAGTAAGCATCACCCGGGGCGGTCCGCTCAAATGTCACCCCAATGACCCCGATTCACCCTATGCTGAATGGTTAGCTGTAGCTAAATTTTCATACATGCTCTACCTCTACTTTACTCTACTGACCGGTACGTTACTGTTTACATGTATGATCCAAGAAAAAATCCAATACCACAAAATAATCAGTTCAAATCAAAAGCTGAAAACATTGCTATTTTTCCTACTCACAAACTTCTCGACAATTTATTAGAAAATTTCTGACGGGGGTACAAAACTGGGGGGTCATAAATTATTTCTGGGGAGTCATATGCTCGTCTGCGAAACCCTGTGTCTCCACCACTGTTTTCAGACTATTTTTGGCACCTTAGCCTGGTTGAAAACTTTTGTTGGGGGTGACATTGTGTCACCCCTACTGGCACCCGGGGCGCCCCCCCTCACTAGCTACGCCACTGTGCAGAGTTAAAAATTAAATAAATTTATTATTGTAATATTCAATGGGAAAACAATATGAAAAATATGGCGAAAACAAGAACAATAAGTCAAAAGTAAATGTTGTGGGACATAATAACTTGAGTGGGGAATTTATTCTCTCAGAAAGGTAACGAGATGATTAATAAAAGATCTAAGGTCAGGCCTACGTGCAAATACACAACACGACGAAATACTTTGTGCAAAATGTAATCATGTAAGAGAAAGAATGTCTTATCTGATTGTAATCAAAGTTCGTTTTTTTTATCTTTTAGCTTAATGTCTCTTAAGTGTGTTTCTGCTTTCCTTTTCCTTTGTTTATTTTTTTGTTTTCTTTTAGGTCTTTTTTTCTGTCTTTCTCTTTTCGTTTCTTTTAATGTCTTTTCTTCATTTCTGTTGTAGAGGCTTGAGTGACGAATCAATTGAAGCTGTCGTTTCGTAGCTCTCAGGAGAAAGCATATCGTTACATATGGTTTCGATATAACTTCTTTTCTCTCGTGCCAAATTTTACTTCGTTTGAGGTTTAAATGTTGTTAAATCTGTTTGAGCATCGAAATCATTGTAGATTTCTATTCTTTTCGCATATCTCAATTAGTTGACTGTCGCCTTCCTGTCAAACAATCTGTAGGAATCCTACTCGGTTTTTCGTTGAATATTAAAATTTGGAGTGTCGGGATTCAATACATTAATAAAATATCATTACAGGGTCGCTCGTAATTTGGCCGCCTAGAATAATCAAACGCTTTTCATTGAAGGAATAAAATTCAGTATAAAAGACGACGTAGTTTCAACAAATAAACAGTGATTTAATATAACGATAGGAATACAAAAAGTTGATAATAGATTGAAAAGTAATATCTTTTGTTTGGGTTGATAAAATTCTAAAATAAAATATAAACTGTCTTTGTGTACGGGTGTGAGAAACAATAAAATGTTGTGATATGTGTGTTTGTATGAAAAGTCAACATGTGTGTGCGTGATTCTTAGTAAAAACGGATACGAGAGATACGAGATCTGGAGTTTGTCAACGCTGTCGTTTTTGACATAAGGTCATGAAGGTCATCGGCGAGAGGTGTGTGTAGCTTGCTGGATTGTTTTGGGAACGGATTTCGTATGTTTTTATACACTTTTTCCGAACAATATCGGCTCCAGAATTAAATTATTTATTTATTCCTAATTGGCCCTAAAAAGTCACGTGGTATGTCTTCTACTACGTCCGTACGATATTTGGTCGGTATCTACCTAAAAATAATTATGACTAACAACAAACATTCTGATTTGTAATCTATGATTTTATTGGTGTGCTTTAAGATGTAAGTGTTTTCTTGAGTGTGATTGGTTTATAAATATTGTAGTTGATATTTTAGTGGACGCGACAAATCCATTCGGTGTAAATACCGAAGGAAAGTTGTTTGGCATACGCGAAATTATAGCTGAATTATAGCATTTTATCGCGAACTCTATCCACTTGGTTTGGATACCTAAGCCGGACTAACTTTGCGCTGTTTGTTTTTCACGCCTTGGTTTCAGATATGGCCCTTTTTCCTGTGTAAGCGAAAAGATCTGGTAATCGAACCTTTCTGTCTTCTCCAGGGTTTCAGAGAGTTCAAAGCCATTATTAACCATTGACCTGAGAAAGAGATTCTTTACAGCAAACAGTTTTGATATTTCTGAACGGATATGACATCCATTTGAAAGTATAGATCTGACGCGTCTATGTAAAAACATGACCTTATTCTATCATCAATTTCCTTATCTCCTATACTAAATTTGTTACAATTGATCCGTACTTTCTGATATAACGTAGGAAATACAGAAGTCTTCTACGCACATGGGACTGGGACTGAACACCAGCGTATAATCCACACACCGATGGCTTATGCCAGAGTTAACAGGGCCTAAGCTTCTCTGCAATGTCTTATTCTGAGTTAACTCACCGTTAGACTTTAGTTCAAGAATCTTAGCTCGCAAGGCCGTAGGGGTCCAGTATTTTGACGCTGAACACTCACCAATCATCAAAGCCCCGTTTGCGTATATATATATATATATATATTGTGTGATTAAGCAACAATCCCTCATTTATACATATTTAATTAAAGATAAGGTACACCGATTAAGCTTTTTATTTGATTTTAAATATAACAATTTCACTATTATAAAAGGTATTTATGTAAAAATATCATTACAAGACCAACGTAAAACTGAATATATATATATATATATATATATATATATTCCAGAGCGTATCAAACCAGGTTACAGAGGACCAATCATAGTGGGCACCTCGGCGTGGTGTAATGGTCAGCAAGCTTGTCTCATTTAGATCTGTTACGACTAAAAAGTGATTTCAATCTTCAATAAGTGGCCCATCCATTCGGCTTTGTTCCACATCTAAGCTACGCTTAGAAAATAACCTCAGGCCGAATCATTGTCTTCATGTTGTAGAATGCCATAATCTGCAACATAAAGACGATGTTTACAGCAAACAGTTTGATATTTCTGAACGGATATGACATCCATTTGAAAGTATAGATCTGACGCGTCTAAAAAACATGACCTTATTCTATCATCAATTTCTTATCTCCTAACTAAATTTGTTAAAAGACGATGTTTAACACCAGCAAATCCACACACCGATTTATGATATTTCTGACCTGGATATGACATCCATTTGAAAGTATAGATCTGACGCGTTTGCGTATATAGAACATGGCCCTAGTTGTCAGATTTTATGATTTTTGCTTTCACTAGCAAAAGCGGTGTTTGGTAAAAACATTAATTCGCTGCTTATTCTATCAAACAATTACAGAGGACCAATTATCACCGATACTAAATGTGTAATGGTCCCACAAGTTTGTTGATCTGTTACGACTAAAAAAGTGATTTCAATTTCTGATCCATAACTAAGTAGGAAATAACAGAATTTGTCTTCATGTTGTAGAGAAACATAAAGACGATGGGAAGAACGGATAGTGACATCCATTTGAAATTTTTACATCAGACATATCGCTGATATTGAGCACTTTAATCCATAAATATAGCAAACCTTAAAACTATATTTCATCATATATATACATATGTTGATTGCGACGTCTTGTTAGACGATTGCCACTCTTCCATTGATTGACAGTCCGTGAAGCCGTTTATGACTCTTTAGTCCTGCCAGTGACTTGCTCATCTTGGGACAGATTTGGCACTCAAGCATTGGCATTGGTTAAGACAACAGACACGGTCTTGGCATCACAGTGAACTTTCATGCAACGCATAAGACCACTAGCTGATGGACAAACTCTAGAGCAGTGGAAGAATGAAAAGTTTCCATCATACATGGAGATGAATGCACAATAGAGGGAGCATACCCAATAAAAGTGCAAAATAATAAATGCTAATAAAATACATTAGAGAAAAAGAAAATATCGACAAGGGATTTCATAAAGACAAAGGTTTATCACCAAAAGATCAGTAGTTAGTCATGCAGGCGATAACACCGGAAATGCTTCCAAATGTGTTTCGCAAGGGTAAGGATAGATTTGAAATCTGAAGGGATACAAATGATGCATATGTTGAAGATTTTCAATAAAGTTTTGATGTATGATTTATAAATTTATATATATATATATATATTGTCTGTTTAAGCAGCAATCCCTCATTTATACATGTTTAATTAAAGACGACAGACAAGGTACTGCGATTAAGCTTTTTATTTAATTTTAAATTTGATAACAATTTCACTATTATAAAAGGTATTTATGTAAAAATATCATTACGAGAGCAACGTAAAACTGAATATAGATATATTACAGAGCGTATCAACCCAGGTTACAAAGGACCAATTATTGTTGGCACCTGGGCGTGGTGTAATGGTTACCAAGCTTGTCTCGCTAGATCGGTTACGACTGAAAAATGAGTTCGATCTTCACTAAGTGCCCCATACTTTCGGCCTTGAGCCACACCTAATTAGAAATAACCTCAGGACCAATCATTGTCTTCATGCTGTAGAATGCCATTAGCTGCAACATAAAGACGATGAAATGTTCCAAAAGAGTAAATCCCTACTCGGCATGCTCTCCAAGGATTCCTAGCCCACACGACCGCTATACCTGTCACCCATTAATAACAATGCAGCACAATGGGACGACGCTTGACCTTTTGTCAATTAGCCGAACTACAGCTCTCTTTGTGAGGTTCAGTCCTGGGTATGACGATAAACTACATCCGGCAGCAAGACCTCTGTTTGGGTTATTGAAACTTTTGAGGAGTGTGGAACCACCTCAATTTCTGCTGTACCCAGGTCCACCCTTTAAAAAATAGTCTTCTATCTCTTCCCAGCTTTTTTTATTAGACAGTTGACGAGTTTCCACTTAAAGATAAAGACTGTAAACTGACACCAAATCAAAACATTAACCTAAAACCTCGTGTCGTGTTCTTAAATAGCCTCGTTAGATCGATATTTCTACTAGATTGGCATTTAGGTCCCACCCGTTCACTATTGAAATAGCTAAATGCAACCGCCACTTTTACTCCAACTGTTTCTTTTCTCGCACTTCCCACTTGTGGAACGATCTTACGACAATCTTCAAAAATTTAAATTCAACGCCATCTTCTATCTTCTTGAACCCTGTTGATCTTTTCTTTTCTTAATCCTCCTTATACTCAGGTTTTTCTCTCACTTTCACTTCCTGTAACCTACTGCGTATTAATGGCATTCCCGTCTTGCTTGGGGTGAAATAATTAAAGATGAAACATTTCTTATTATTACATATCACATTCTCTTTCTCATTGAAACCAAACAGTTATCCGGGATTGGACTATAAATTGCCATGAGGAGTCGCAGTGTGTGGTCGGGAGGATAGAAAAAATTGTAGCTAACGGAAGCTATACAAGTCGATACCCGATCAGTATCGGTTGGGTCACCCTGAAGAGGGGGTATGATGATGAAAGACTCGAAACTTCTAATGAACCTCAGCTAGAAACATCACTGATGATGTGTACCAAAATATCCAAAAGATTTTACACGAAATCCTATGTTCTGTCTTCCCTCGCAATCAAAATAGAATGGTTAATTATTTATCTGAGGTAATGGCAGAGTTTGACACACACGTACTAACTTATAGCAGAATTATATGGTATTTCATCTCTTTATTTTCTTCTTTTGAGAGAAGGAAATTGAACAGAGAATGGACTGCGTCAGAACTAGTTTTGACCAACACCATATATTGCTTACAAAACTAAAACATTAAATTAAAACTCCAGTCATGTTTTTTAAATAACCTCTTCAGATCGAGGCTTTCATATAGACGCCATGCATCACGCCAAATTCATTTAGAAATATTTGAACTGTCATCTGTGTAGAAATGTTTCGATCAAAAGAAGACTGTGGGTCTCAGCCAAGACCATTCTTCATAGAGCCTCCTTAACTGGCGCTACATAATCACAAAGAATTATTCCAATTAACATAAACCACATCCAACAGCGGAAACAAACTAAAACGGATAAACACATGAAAATCGAAGGGAAAAGAATGACATGAACAGGATGTTGATCTTCTACATAAGTTCAAGCATAATTTTGGGAAGGAAACCGCCATCAATATTGGAAAGAGACATAACAGTTACTGGATTTGAGAAACATTTTTCATGACAGACCATTTCGAGAAAAAGCTTTCATGAGATTTTTTTTTTATAAATTTCAGTGTTGCACTTTCTTCTCGGTCAACAAATGTCGAATGTTTCCTTATAAGGAAACGGCTATAAACATTAGCATTCTGAATTCAGAGACCATCGGGAAACTCCTCCACTATGTTTCTTAAGACATGACCTTTCACAGATATTAAAGAAAAGGAAGCTGTGGAGAATAATGATCGCCTACGTTATTAAGGTACATGACGTTTAAAAGTTCCTAAGAAGGGTGGACAGACAACGATAACAAAATCTTAAAACCTCATTTAATATCCACTTGTCTCTTTGACATTGTATTAAGTAAATCATAAAAAAAATACATCTACCATATTAAATTGATATATCACAGATGTCTATATACATTTTCCATCTCTTGTTCCCCTCACCCCTACAGTGGAGTATGGAGCCACATTCGCCCACACAGTATTCTTTGTATACCATGTAAGTTGTTCATCGAATGGAGTTGCTAATGCTACAACAAAATATCAATTAATTTACTTAAACAAAATTTTCCTTATTGTAGACTGGTTGCCAACCAAGGCTGAAGTGTACAATCAACACTACTATTTAACCTGGTGAGCGAGGCGAGAAGAAATGAACTGAGATCTTTCTCAAGGGTAAGTGCGTATGGCGTGTCAGCTTTTAATATATTTTATTACACTTTCTTTTCCGTTTAGCTAATGTAAGGATTTCTTTGGTAACAAAGAAAAGAGTACTGAGCTGCTACATGACATCTGTCCTCCAGAGGTATGGTTCTACAGAAGGATGATAAGGATATCATAGACCGAGCGTGTGAGCAACGATGAGGTTTTGGAGATGATGCTAACAAGGAGGAAGCTTATATTTGACATCAGGAAAATGCAGCTGAAATTTCTGGGACACGTAATAAGAAAGGAGGGCTTGGAGAATCTGATACTCACAGGTCGAATAGAGGAAAAGACAGACACGGGAAAGCAACACATGACATAGCTAGCGGATTTAAGCAAGTGGATGACAGTGTCAATCTCTACACATTGATTTAATTCGGGCTTATTTTGCTACTTATTTTTGGCTTTGCGTAGGCCTCTGATGCATCTGAACGGATGCTGCTCCCATTTGATCCCCGTCAGCTATTGAGTGAAAAAGTTTATTTACTTTCTATTGTGAGAATTTCTTCTCACACAGTTTAACCCTTGGCAGAGACAAGAAAAGACATACAATTAACAAAGCCTACCTTAAAATTCAATACAAATTTTATTTCGTCTTTGCAAAAAAGATTATGCCCTTTTGCGCCCCTGTGAATAGGGTGAGGTAGTTACTTCAAAGAAGTGGTAGTATTTTTCTTCTCTGTAGGACTCAACTGGTCTCTATGCAGATTCGAAGAAGCAGGAACTTGACGGTCGTCGCAGGAGCATTACCAATTTGGTTGGTGAAATAAAAACTCGGCTATTTGTCGAGAGCATGCAGAAAGGTTCTTCATGCAAAAAGTACATAATGTGACGACAGTCAATAAACCGACTGAATTATTCAACCTTAAAAAGTCTCTATGAGACAAGAAGAATAATTGCCTAGTCATTTAGGCTTAATTTTGGGCGCTAAAGGCCCTGCAATGTGAGAGAATGTGAGTCCTGTCATCTCGAAGATTATGCAGTATCTAAAAAAAGAATACCCGCTCGGCCCGGTGGCTAGGATCAAAGTGTAGTATCTGCGCTTTGTGAGCTGCCGGGTCGGGTGTCTGTCGAACTCTCTGCTCGCAGAGAGGAACCCGGACGAAGCTCCGCCGAAGGGTGGGGTTTCGTTCGGGGAGGTTGACGGAACTAGCCCGCTTGGACGGGTTTAGATGGGTTTTATTTTTGGCTGGGCCTACGGGCTCAGACATACCCACATTAAAAAGGCCTTGTGCCACATTCGGTCCCCGTGGGTGGATTGATAAATACCATCTCGAAGATTATGCATTGGTACAAAAATAAGGTGTGCCATAGCTCCTACGGCTAATTTATGGCACACCTTATTTTTAATTCAGCTTTAATTGCAGAATCGGTCACGCAAACAGAAAAATGGCAAATAAGGTCAATTCTACAAAAGAAAGAAAGAAAGAGTGAGTGAGTGAGTGAGAGAAAGAAAAGGAAGATTAGATTAGATCATTAGAATTTGTAAGGCTCTGACTGTAAGGAGTAATATACGTCTATCCGAAGCTATAACTAACGAATTTCAAGCCTATCTGAAAAAAAAAAAAGTAAGTATTATATGAATGTACCTTTCCTTCATGATAATGTATATTCGTAATTATGTTATGGGAACGTTTTTACGTTCATGTCATTTGTTTTAAACATTCTTTAATGGATTCAATCAGTGGTGTAGACTTTTTTTTTGCCGTCCCTCAAGTTCGACGCCTCTCCCAGAAGAAATATATTCCGGCAAGATAACTTGTTTTTTGTTTATATACGATCTGTTTTATTTAAAAAGAAAAAAGAAACACATTGTATTTTTTATTCACATTTTGTCAGGTTTTTGATATTTATTTCAATATTAACAAGTGAGGAGTCATGCCATTTTAAACACGATTCGTTTTTCTTTTAACAATGTAAAAAAAGTAATACAATGTCTTTTTAAAATTATTTTGTTTTCTTTTACGTGAAGTCATTATTAGTAAAAAAAACAAACACTGTAAGTTTTATGTATGTACCTACCTCTTGTTTTGGATAATGTATATTCGTATATGTCTAGAAGACATTATGTTTTGGGAACGTTTTTATGTCCATGCCATTAGTTTTTTTTTTTTTTTTTTTTAAACATAAATGGATTCAATCAATGGTGTAGCTAGATTTTTTTTTTTTTTTTTTGCTGTCCCTAAAGTTCGACGCCTCTCCCAGAAAGAATACAATATTGCAATGCACATTAACCACTTACAGAAGAAGACGGAGGCTTTAATTATCCATTTCATTTAAAATTGTTATTTCGTGAATATTGAGATGTTCAATTAATAAGAATGAAATCTCCTCTGCAAACCAGTGAACGATGAAAAATTATTCGTATCTATCATTTTTTAAATATTTTTTTTATCCATTTCCTAAAATCAAATGCCCTTATGATGCCAATTGCCAGGTTTTTTTTCCCGTATTTCTGTTACAACGTGGTATATAACTCCTCACTGATAAATTTATGAAATAAAAGTACGATTCTGCTTCAAAATGTTAAAATAAAACTGGAGATATTAAAGAACAAAAAAACAAACTTTTTTAAAAACTTTTTACGATGTTAAAAGAAAGATAAGTTTTTTTTTTTTTTTTTTTTGGTTATATACCTTGTGTTTTATAAAAAGAAAAAAAAAGAAACACATTGTACTTTTAATTCACAATTTATCAAGATTTTTAATATTTATTTCAATTTTAACAAGTGAGGAGTCCGAAATTAAATGCCACTTTAGCAGAAACACGATTCGTTTTTCATTTAAAAAAAAAAAAAAATGTAAAAATAAATACTGTCTTTTAAAATTATTTTATTTTACGTAGCTGAAGTTATTAGCAAAGAAAGTAGTGTAGACTGTCCGAATAGTCCGAAAATTAATTTCATTTTTAAAAACTGCAAAAAATGTTACTTTTTAATTTTTTAATTCTTAGTCTTTTTTGCTTAAAACTACTACATTTCTAAAAAAAAAAAAAATGTATTGTTTAGTTTCAGTTTACAGTTTATAACTTTACACGCAATTCTACAAACCTTGTCCGTTCAATTGATATTTTTTACTTTATTGTTTATTTTAATTGTATGTTTAATTTCATTCCCTTTTCAGCTTCCCGACTGTGTCTTCTTAAGTAAGTAATTTAATTTCCACCATTCAGTTTATTGAGCATTCTATCGTGACCAACGATAGGGGGTCATGATAGAACGACACTTGTAAAGTTGAAAGTAGTTTAACAGTTGCTTATCAAATTAATTACAAAGGAGAGGGAAAAAAATTATTTAAAAAATTAAGTGCTTCTGTTTAGGATTCATGATAATATTGCAAAATTTCATTATAAAAAGAAAAAAGGAATCCTCTATCAATACATAACATGGGACAACTTGTATTAACACACACGGCCCACAGAGTGAAAAAAATAACTTCTTAGTCATTCTTTTCTAAAAGAAGTTGTAAACTAAACAATATCCTCTTGTTGAGCTGAAGCTTATCACCGTCAATATGTCACAATGACTTTACTGTTAAAATATAAAATAGAAAAATATTGCTAATGCTCAGCTGTATAGTGATAGGAAAAGAAATTATTTATTTTAGGTCCTTCTTGTTAGTGGATTTACGATAAACTTTTTTAGTTTAAAGTCTGATTTGATTCTAAGTTATTATTAATTAATAAGATGTCGAAATTTGTTTATTTCAAACTAGCAGTAGAGCCCGGCGTTGCCCGGGAATGTAACAGTAAGAGATAAATCAAGTATTATTGACCATCATAAAGACTGAAAAATAAAATTGACAAAGATTATTGTTTAAGGTTGACGGACACACGTCTTAATTTGCTTTGTTTTTTTTTTTTTTTTTTTAAATTAATAAAAACAAAGTAATTTAAATATATTTTGCAGATGCTATTTTTTGTACAGAAAAAAAGTGGTAAACATTGCCTCATGTATGATAATCAACAGTGCATGGAAAATTTTTAAATGGCACTTAACAAATGAAGTTAAAAGAAATTCTTTCTGTGTTTCTTTTATTTTATCTTGGTAAATTATTTTCATGAAACAAAACATTTGATTTTTTTTTTTTTTTTTTTCCATTCTCTGAAAGTCACAAGATAAATGTGAATCTTTAAAACAATATTTGTAGTTGGCACTCCACATATTTATATAGTGGAAGAAAATGCTTTCATTACTTTTTTAAATTTTTATTTAAAAAATTTTTCAGAATTTCATTCAGAAGAAAATCATAATAAAAATGAATAAGAGTCTTTAAAAGATTACATTTTAAACTACACTATGCACTAAATTTTGTTGTGCATATAGACTAAATTGTTTTGGATAAATGTTTTTGTAAAGATGAATTTATCCATCTTGGACAAATGATAAACTCTACCATGTGCTTTTGTAGGAACATCAAAAGTGTACAGAATATTCATTAATGGTACAAAACATATATCCTTAAAATCTTTCCAGTAAAATGAATGTGATCTGGATCTCATCTTGGACCATAAATTTATAGTTCTCGGCAAAATCTCCCCGGAACAATATTTCACTATCACTAATCTCCTCTTTTCTTTGTTTTAAGTACATTGATTGTGATTTAGCCAAGTAAGAATGAGGTGCAAATTTATTCAGTTGCAAAACAACTGAATCTGTGTAAGCTTGACAGGATTCCCTTTGTGTTGTCGATCTGTCAGTTGTTGTCCATTGGTAGAATTCTATTGATTCAGCATTATCAACATATCCTTCCATGGTGTCATAAAGACATTTTTCAAGCTGCCCTGATGATTTGGACACCTATGAATCATACACTCTCTGCTACTGGCATTACAGACAATATATTTGCAGAGATCTTTATATGATACATTCAGTGGTTCCAGTAATAATTTCATATTTTGGTGGATAGTGCATACACATACAACATGTGTATCTGTACTACCAGCAAGGAGACACTATTTCAACCTTAGACTACAAAATTTTGAAAATCCCAAAGGTATTGTTGGGATCTGTTCCTTGAATGCTCTGAAGAGCTCATTTAGGTTGCACAAGATGAGTCTTTTCTGCTGATGAATATCACGTTTAATTCTAACATAGTCTTTCCTGCCTGGCATCAGTCGAGTATATTCATCATCTTGGTAAAAAATGCTTCCACTAACTGTGCAATATCGGCAGGCAAAGACTTGCCCCTTTTTGATTCTTGCACAGCTAAAATACCTCTTTCCAAACACAATTTGCAAGCCTTGCATACAATGTGTTCTGGAACACCAAACACACCCATGACTTTTTTGTGTGATGAGTTGGTAGGGGCAAGTGTCAAGATCTGTATTTTGATTTTAGTTGATTCCACCGTCTTCACTTTTGCTATAAAAAGCTCTATCATTTTATCAAAGCACTTTGCTTTATCGAAAATCTCCTTTTTGATTTTTAAAGCCACATCATTCAATGGCTCATAGTCAACGTTTAATGACTTGGCTACTTTGGTCTTTACACATGGCATTGCAGAAAAAAAATTTTTCTCTTACCTAAAGTAGCTTTTCCTGAGTAATGAAGTCCATTGAATTTCAATGGAGAAATTCCAATAGCAGAGAAACATTCATTGATATTTCTCTTCTCCATTTCTGCAGAAGTACTTGTATCAAGCTCTTTCATTTCCTCATCTGATACACATCTTGGTTCTTCATTATTATTACTCTTTTCTGATTCTGCAGAAGTACCTGCTTCAAGTTCTTGTATTTCCTCATCCGATACCATGTCTTGGTTCTTCTTTGAGAAGTAGTTTGTGGATTTGTATTTGATAAATTAGGGCAGAGTTTCTTGCCTGGGATTAATACCAACTTAGCCTTTGCCTTGTCAGCCATCTCCAAAGAAATTGGTCTCAAACCACCTTTGATTTGCATTTTATGATTTTTAAATGGATTACATCTTTTTACATAGTAAACAAGGTCTGCTTGTGATGGTAACAGATAGTCTGTATTTTATCCTTGTCAAGTCCTGTTCTATAGGCAATAAGCTTTGCATCCAACTGATCAACTAAAATCAATCCAACCTGTTTTATCATTAAATAAACCATGCCATGTTTCAACTGTTAGCTCAGTACAAATAGAACAATTCATCTTTAACTGAAATAAGAAATTACTGTACTTAAAATCCAGTGTGCAAGTAAAAAATCCAAGTAATTAAAAAAAATACCACCTTTCTCCTTGGATACTGGATGGTAAGTGACAGATGTTTCAGGACCCTGATAGTGCTTAGTGTAGTTTATTAAATGTAATCTTTTAAAGACTCTTATATATTAATTTTTATTATAACTTTCTTCTGATTAAAACAAAAAATCAAATATTTTTGTTTCATGAAAATAATTTTGAAAATTATTTAAAAAAAAAAAAAAAAATTTTAAAAAAGTAATGAAAGCATTTCCTTCAATTATATAAATATGTTAAGCGCCATCTTCAAATATTGTTTTAAAGATGGGAGAAAAAAAAAAAAAAAACAGTAAATTTTTTTGTTTCAGGATATGTTTGTTGCAAGTGCGACAATAAAATTTGGATTAGCATGGTCCAGGAAATTGATATGGAGAATATAAGGAGTTGCTGATGAAGTTCATACACCCAGCTCTTCCATCATATTCATTTTACTGGAAATAAGATTTTAAGGATATATATATTTTGTACTATTAATGAATATTCTGTGCACTTTTGATGTTTCTACAACAGCACATGGTAGAGTTTATCATTTGTCCCAGATGGATAAATTATCTTTGCAAAAAATTTTATCCAAAACAATTTAGTCTATATGCACAACAAAATTTAGTGCATAGCGTAGTTTAAAATGTAATCTTTTAAAGACTCTTATTCCTTTTTTAATTATGATTTTCTTCTAAATGAAACAAAATTTATATATTTGTTTCATGAAAATAATTCTGAAAAGTTTTTAAAAAAAATAAAAATTTTAAAAAGTAATGAAAGCATTTCCTTCAACTATATAAATATGTTAAGTGCCAACTACAAATATTATGTTTTAAAGATTCACATTTATCATATGACTTTTTGAGAATGGAAAAAATCAAATGTTTTTTGTTTCATGAAAATAATTTACCAAGATAAAATTAAAAGAAACACAAACAAAGAATTTCTTTTAACTTCATTTAAGTGCCATTTTGAAATTTTCTATGCACTGTTGATTATCATACATGAGGCAATGTTTACTGCTTTTTAAAGACAATCTATCTGTACAAAAAGTAATAGCTGCAAAATATATTTAAATTACTTTTTACTTACTAATTGTTTTTATTAATTTAAAAAAACACACAATCTTATTGAATATTTGAAGAAGTTACTTAGCACAATATCAACATTTTAGCGGTCATGGAGCATTAGCATGATTGTCTTTAATTATAATCTTTCTCAGAAATCCTGCACATACGTAGGAAAAAACTCTAAAATTGGCAGGGTCATATCTTCTAAAGTAGACTTAAAACCCTCACAAAATTTTTTGGTGAACTTGAGCAGGCATTGTAGATGTTAAGCAAAAAATATTATGAAAATTGAAGTGTATATATTTTTGATAGACTGACCATAAGCTACATAGGTGAAAAGTTGTTGATTTTGGGGTCATGTATTTTCTATCAAGTGTAGGCTTGAAATAGTTAAATATTTGGATTCTACACTTTTTATTTGCCCTACATACACTTGTGCCATATTTCAAGTAATTTGGTGTTGGTGGGTGCAGATTTCAACTTTTTGCTGGTGTTTTTACATGGAATGACCCACTTAAAACATCATGAAGAGGCAGCTGAAATTTCTGGGACACATAATGAGAAAGGAGGAGCTTGGAGAATCTGATACTCACAGGTCGAATAGAGGGAAAGACAGACAAGGGAAAGCAACACATGACATAGGCAGTGGGCTTAAGCAAGTGAATGACAGAACAGGGCCTAAAGAAAGTGGCAAAGGGACAAAAATTGAGAGCTACAAGGGATAGGAGGAAGTGGAGAGCCATGATCTTCCATGTCCTGATGGGACGCTTCACATAAAAAGAAAAAGACTAGCCATTCATTATTTCCTTCTTCCCTTTCCATATCCTCTCTATCTGTCACTTAAAATTAATATTTTCAGTTATGGGTGGGTCACATCAATTCAACAATTTAAGAGTGTGCTGAACAATCTTTTTTTTTTTTTTTTTTTAAGAAAAAGTTCATGTGGCATTTAAGTAAAAAGCTCACGTTTGTGTTTTTATTTTGAGGTTCATGTATTTTAGCATGTAGCATCTATATAAAAAAAATATTAAGGATGAAATCTTGAAATGATTCTTTTGAATTTTACAACTATGGAGAAAGACAAAAAGTTATGGATTCATTTTGAATACATAAAAATATATACTTGTAGCTGTGACAGCCGCGTTATTACCAGTTGCATCGGCTGATGGTTTCAAAGTTTTTTTTTTTTTTTTTTTTTTTTTTTTCTACTTTAGAATTTTCAGGAAAATAGGTTTCTCCAGTAGCTTTTATAACTCTTTTAAGTATTGATGAGGGTTTCCTTCCTAATTTTGGCACATCATATACGCTATATTCAATTTTCTTATCTGCCTTACTAAATTTGTTGTAGCTAATTCGTACACTGGAATACCTGAAGTGTTTAGTATTTATTAATTACTAAGCCTTAATTTTTATGATAATTTCAGTGTAGGTGCTATCGCAGCATTCATTCCATTTTCAGATCATAGTTTCTCTTTGAGATATGTTTAACTTGTGTGTGTGTGTGTGTATATATATATATATATATATATATATAGTCAACGTTTGAAGGGTCTCTTACTGTTTAGCATTTTACAAGTCGATACTTTATTTTTTTGCTTCAAACTAATTGATGATTAAAATCAAGATGACTGAACACTCTTTTATTTTTTTTTTTTCAGATAATACTTGGAAATGTCAATTTCATCTTTGCTGAAGTGCTTGATTGTGGCTCCAATTATCACTATTCTTAGTTTTTATATTATTCCTATTTTTTATAATTATCCTATTATTATTCCTATTAATATTCCTCCATCTGTTCTCCCCATTAACAATGGATCCAATTCTGCAAACACAAATGAGACTATAAAAGACATAATGAAAACAAATAGATATAATAAATGCGAGGAGACGATCCATTTATCGAATCGCACGAAAAAGTTGGAAATGAATTTTAATATCACAGGGCTTGAGTCGTCCGCCCTTGTCTTTACAGTTCTGATATTTGATGAAAAATCAGATACTATCGAAAAACAGAGTCATCTGTGCAGTACATTTCCCTGCCATATCAAAAGAACCAGTTCCAAAGATGGTCATGACATTTTCGTATCTGTTCTTTCATGGAAAACTATAAGTTGTGAATGGACCCTAAAAGAGATACAAGATGATAAAAGGAACATTATTTTAAGCGCTATATCAAGTGAACACAAAATCGACGATAAAGTGCAGAATCTGCACAAGCAATAGACCTTCATCACTGTTAAGGATCACAAAGATAATTCCCCCAATAATCCACAGTTCAGATTGCTTAACCCTTCCATAAAGAACATAGAGAAATTCAGAAAGGATATGCTATAACGATCCTGCAAATATGCTAAGAACTGTACAGGGATCAACCAATGGGGGAATACAAAAGAAACCATCCATTGCTTCTCTAAAAGAAAAACGAATGCACCTTTATGCAATTTTACTTCTTCAATTTTTACTCTTTGATTCTGCGGTACCTTGTGAATTGGTTGGTATATTTCTACTGTGATAACTTAGACTTTTGATAGAAACAACACTGGTCTGCCCAGAAATGACGGAGTTACCCTCCTGTATAATAACAACTCACAAAATACAGATTGCCTTAGAAAACAACTTATTAAATCTTTCAAGTCTCAGGGACTAAATATCACCACTAATATCTAAGGTGATTATCTTTGTGGACACCATTTTCAGCCTATCCAAAGGAATGTACAATCCTTTCACTTAAAATCTTTATAATCATAAATATATTAACAAGGAATTCAACCATTCCCCAGGAATTTTAAATAATTTTCGCAAATCAATGCAAAATAGGTTCTCTACTAACTCTAGTAATAAAAATATTTTCGACAAATATAAAACTAAATATGTATATGCACTAATAATAAGCAAAAATAAAGTTAATCTAGGACACCTTGACAATAATGAGACTGATAACAAAATGCATAAGCACAGAAAACGCAACATAATTTGATATAGCCCACCATATATCAGTAAAATATCAAACACAACATAGGTAAAATTTTTCTCAATTTAATCTGCAAGCATTTCAGAAATATTTGATTGCTCAACAAGATTTTTCACAAGAAAAACATTAAAATTAGTTGCAGTTTTACAAAAAAAACAAAACTTCAGCATTATATAGCACAACATAATAATTTAATATTAAACAAATGTTTAAACAACTTCAATAGTAATGACAGTACTGACAAAAATTATATTTGTCCAAAATATAGTCCTTGCCCATTTAATACTAAAAGCATGAATAAAGGCATTATTTACAAAGCTAGTACTGAAAATAATGCCAAGACTAATTTTATTTTTGTTCCACTGTTAACCAATGAAGAACATATCATTACCATCATAAAATGACTCTTACTAATAAGCAATATTCAAATACCACAGCGCTTTCCAAATCTTTTTGGGAAATTAAAGGTAACTATACACCTGTAGTAAATTGGGATCTCATTGTTATAAAAAAAACCTTTTTGCCCCAACAAAGATAAATGTATTCTAGGCTTATTAAAAAAAGAAAAAAAAAACTATTCTCAAATATATCACTAATCATAATCTGCTGGACAAGTGAAATGAACTTACGATTACATGCAAACACAGAAGGATGTCTCTTCGCAAATATTTAGACACTGCCGAGAGCAATTAACATATCTCTGTAATACTCCAACTAACTTACCTCTAATATTTTAGAAATATTTTTCCATATCCAGTTACCTCCATTATACCATCCAAGCACTTAATTTTTTTAACTTGGTGCTCCTTTTTTATTTTATTACATTTATTATTGTTTAAATTTTTTCTTTACAGTGATAAAGTAGAACGTTCCCCACAATCAAAGAGAGATCATACCAAGCCAATCTTCAGACATATCAACATTGAATAGGTTTAAATAGGTTTAGCATGAAAGAAAAGATGGATACAGAAGACATTATTTACATTATTCGGACTATTGTCCTCATCTTTGTCGCCATATTTATCACAACGTTTCGGCCATTGTATGCTCCGGCCTTCTTCAGGTGGTTGGAATTTCGAACTGAACCCTTTATTTTGCTCACCGGGGTAGACTGTTCTAGTTCCACGTGCCATGTTTGATGGATGTCGGTTATCTATATATAATAGTAAAATTTATATATATAATAGTTATCTATATATAATAGTAAAATATTTTTCTTCAAAACTTTGTATTTATTTGAGCAATCAAACTTAAAGACAAAATAATTTGCAATTTTTATCATCATGAAACACCAGAAACATGTTGGTTAAATTAAAACCGAATCTTAAAGAAAAAAAGAAAATAACGCTTAATAATGGATATTCTTAAGTTTAGTATCTATTCTCTTAATAAATTAAATGAAATTACTAAAAATAAAAAATAAAACACACTAAAATATTTAGTTTAAAATACTAATAACTACTTATCAACGGTGTCTTTTTTACTGGATATTTTTTTTCTGTATTTACCAGTAGTGATTACCTCCTTTACAAGTTAGTTTTATTTTTGTTTACTGTTTACGCTTTTAACTAGCACAAATATCTATTTTATTTTTCATCAAAATAAACTTGACTATTTAAAAAAAATACAACTTTTATATTTATTGTAATTTGTTTATATTTTCAAAGTGTTTTATTAAAAGGCCTGCTTACAAGTTAATCTCAGAACTAACTCTACTTTTAGGTAAGTAAACAAAATATTACTTTTAAAATCGAAATTTATTTTCAAATTTATTTTGAAAAATATTCATTTGTGTAACTTCTTATAATACATATATTTTCTTTTTCAGATATTTTAATAAAAATGGCAGGAAAAAGCACTTCAATTTCAACTCTTAGTAAAGAAGCAATTAAATTTTCAGGTCCACCTTCACCATTAGATAAAACAGAGTCCCCAATTTATCGACAAATTATTCAATATAGCTATTTTTAATGAATATTATCGCCACCTTTCAAGTTTTGCTATTTGTAAATTAATAGCAAAAGATCTAATAAATATTTGGAAGGCTGTTCATCCCTGTTTACCTCTATTAAATGAAATTAGTATTGTGAACAAGGTGAAAATTCTATGCTTCCAAAAGGCAAAGCAAATAAATAAGAAATCTCTCCCTGGTGCCCCCCAAAAGAAATTCTGGAAGGAAAAGCTGGACACGTTATTTGATATTTCGTCCTGTTCATGTAAACTGCCAGTTTTAAGTTGTGACGACCCTAATGTTAAATGTAACAAAGAAAAGTGCCAGACTAAGCCCATAATCTGCACTTGTCCTATGAAACAGAAAGTAAGTTATTTTCTATTTTTGTTTTTTCAATGTATTTGTGATGGAGACAACGTAATATAAAAATCATGCAAATTTTGAATGAAATCAATTTCCACATTTTTTATATTATCTAAAAAAATATAAAACCTCATTTTTTCCATTTTATTTTTCATGTAAAATAATTTTTATTTTAATCTGTTTATATATATTAAGAAAAGTAAAATCTAATATTTCAGGTTCCAGTGGAAGACCGTGAATATTTGAAAGATCAGGGGGTCAAAATAGGGCCGAAGGGAACTTTCCAGTTTGGACTAACAAATAAAACTGCTATAAAGAAAAATGTAAAAGGGGAAATAGAGAGCTTAAGCCAACAAAAGAATTTAGATTCATCACCGATAGCTTCAACATCATATGTCCAGGATGATATTTCTTCCTATTCCTTCTCATCTTCTCCTAGTGAAGAGGTAGAAGATGAATATTTGCAACTAGATACTCATCCCAAAGGGCTATATAGCCTTATCAAAATTCCAAGGTATTCTATTGAGTTGATAAGGGGTGATGTATCTTCCAATGTTGAAGCCAGCCTTGCCAATGCCTTGCTCTTGGATTTTAGGGCTATGGGTCTTCTTATCCCCAATATTAATATAAAAAATATTTACATACATAAATGTAAAATTGATAGAGCAAAGGCTAAAGTGAAGAAGAATGCCCATCAAAAGCATGATGAAAAGGTGGAAAGACTTCTTTGTATTGGAGTTGATGGGAGAACTGTCAAAAACACGCTATTGTACAAGGAAATAGTAGAGGAAAATGGAAAGAAAACTCTGAAAAAAACCAAGGGAGCAGAACACCACTTGACTGTTACAAAGGAGATGCCATATGAAAGTGAATATCTGACACATAGGGTTCTTCCTAATATTTGTGCAACTGGTGCTGTTTTTGCCAAGCAAGTAGCTGATGTGTTGCCTGAATTCAACAGCATGAGCACTATCAAGGCTATCCTTGTTGACAACACTAATGCCAATACAGGCTGTGAAGGTGGATTTGTTGCATTTCTAGAAAGAAAAATTAACAGAAATCTTCACACTATTGGTTGCTCCTTGCATCAAAATAAACTATCGTTTAGAGCTCTCTTTAAACATGTAGATGGTACCACAAAAAGCCCTACCACATTCAATGGTCCACTGGGTAAATTATGTGCAAATGATTACCATAATTTACCCCAAATATCATTTTCAGCTGTTGGCAGTCCTGGATTCTATTTTCAAAATTGAAAATAGAGATACCCTTAGCTGTGACCAAAGACTCCTTTATGAATACACAGTGAGTATTTCTAGAGGTAAGGTGGACTCTAGATTTGCATCATGGAAAATTGATCCATTAAACCAGGCAAGG